TTGACCAAACAAGTTGTTACATTTATCTCGCGCGATAAACTGGTGCCCACTAATTGTTCTGATGAACTTTTTTCTATGATACGAAGATTTTATGAATTTAAGCGCAGTACTAGATTGGCGGAAAGGTCTCATCATTTTACTGTTAAAATTGCTAGATGTAACCGTAACATGTTTCTTCTATTGCAATTCTCATCTGAAGAACACTCTTTCGGCTTCTTGCTTCCCAGTCAACTTTTAATCTTCAAAAATTTAAATGTAATGTCAATCGTTTTCTTCTGTCTTCTTAATTATTCTTCTTTTATTGTCCTTTCTTCTTCAGAGTATATTTTCTCATTGTATAACACTCAATAACCCCTTACGTCTTAGCGGCTTTATTGCTTTGTTAGAAGTTAAAATATTAAAAAAAAAACAAAACAAGAAAGAAAAAAATGAACTGAGAGAAAGAGGACGGCGTATATTTGCAAATTTGATTTGTTTAGTTCCGATAATATTTTGAAGGTTGTACCTGTTGGCGCCAGACAGCAACAAAATGAAACGTAAAATTTTGCTGATAAAATCTAATCGTCTGCATCTGATTGAATGAAGACAGAAATAGTGCTAGATATATTTTATACTCAAAATTCATGCTTAACATACATACATACACAAATAAGCAGGATAAATAAAAAATAATTTAATTACATAAAAAAAAAAGAAATTAATCATTGCAAACTAAATAACATGTAGTGTTTGCATTCCATTACAGAGCTAGAATACAACATAGAACTCACCGTCGTTAGTGTCTTATTCTTTTCAGGATAACTCTCTCCAAATAAATTACATCCAGCAGCAAGACCTCTGATCAGGAGATTAGAGGTTTAATTGCTGTTGTTCCCAGGTCCACCCTGTCCCGGACTGGTAGCACATTGTTGTAAACTAAGAAAAGGTTACTGAATAAGAATAACCAAAACGAAGGTTGAAAATGAACGATATTTATAACAGGAACGGCATACAAGATTCGCCAGCGGCGTGTAGTAAGTAACCAACTGCTAATGGTGAACTAGAAGTGAATCAAGGTGAATCCCAAATCAATCTCAGTGAATCCAACATACAGTATATTCCACTGTATTTATAAGGATAGATAGTTACGGTATAACACACCTGTTAGGATCCCAGCTAAACCCCCAATACAAAACGTATAAAATATATATTCTTATAGTAAAAATACCAGTAATACAGTTTTATATATAAAAAATGACCAGTAATACATTTTATCTCTAGTTGAACGTATACCACTGTGTTCAAATTAGATTTCGACATTAAATAACCCATAGAGGTTGATATGCTACTAAGTAAAATCGAGCAATCACCCAACTAACCAACCGACCACCTCTCTCAAAATGACAATCAAATTTTAATTTTATATTTACTAAAGATTCATAGGCCGCATGACAAAGGCAGTGACATATCGTTCAATTTATAGATGCTAATTTTTTCTACACGCATATAATTCACATAAAATTCAGTAAAATCCTAAGCTCTTCAAGTCAAAGGTCAAATGTTGTATATTCTCCTTATTCTCATAATCTTCATTTCCTACCATCGGCTCTTTCATTCATATCATTCTTCATAAGCATTTGAACAGTAAATCTCTACCTTCAGTGGCTCTCGTTTCTTGTATGAGGTGAAATATTTTTAATAGAACTATATTATTTACACTACTTACACTTGGACTGTTGTCCTTATCTTTTTTGTCATAACGTTTCGGCCGTTGCGCCCTCCGGTCTTCATCAGGTTTATGTTGATCAGTTGTAACCGACAGGGATTTTCGAAGTGAACTCTTTATTTAATCCACTAGTGCAGACTGTTCTCGTTCTATTGCCCATGTCTAGGAAAATCTTGTTTTGTTCAAAATACCAGTGTACCGCCAAAAGTTACGGCATTTGTTAGAAAGATTTAATAGTGAGATGCAATGAAACAAAAGTTCTGAAACAATGTACTGAGATTTAATAAAGCGGAGATAATAAAAAAAAAATTACAATTAAAATATAGTTTAATGAGCCGAACCCTAGGTACTGCAATGGGAACGAAAATGGTACCAATATATGCCACCCTAACATTAGCTTAGATAGAGGAAAATCTCCAAGAAGAGATAGAACAAATATATGGGGAAAATATAAAAACCTACTTCACTAAATCTTGGAAACGGTACTTACATGATTGCTTCATTATCTAGAAATCTACATATAGATTTGGTTAATATGACCCCATGAGGTCATATTAACCAAACCGACACTCTGCTTCAGAACTTACACCCTAAGATCGATCCTTTATATTCTTAGACATTAAATGGTATCTCTGATTCCTTCATTACTCGTGGTATTATATAAATCGCTTTTTGCTCAATATCTTTTCATGTTAAAAATTTTAGGTGTTTAAAATAACAGTGAAATGGAATTATCTCCTGGAATAAAAACATTATCAACATAACGATAAAGACGGCGACAACAAAGCATATTTCAAAACTAAGTTGAAGCAAGCCGATCACCTAATAGAAAAAAAAGGTAACATGAGTTCCTCACATGAAAGGCTTGAACAAATAAGACTGCAATCTAAGCAACATAGAAGTAAAGGAACTGGTTAATTAAACGGTTCATTTTATTCATGAATCAATTTTCTCTAGATGCAGATAGATATTTTATTTGTATAGATTATTAAAACAACTATGGTAAATAAGCACTCATAAATTTACTAACTTAAGCTGGATTACTTTCCTTCCCACTACAATTCGGACAGAAAACATAAAAATACACCGGAAATATGAATAAATACACATTGATAATTATTACATGGTTTGACATTTAAATATACTATAAAAATGCCAGATTAAAATAAGATATTTAAGATATTTTTCCTTAAAAATATTCATATTAAATTATTTGGCAGTATGTTTTATTTTGCAATTCAATGTTTGTTCAGCATATTTTAAATAAAAATTATATAATAGTATATTTATTGACATTTTTCAATTTCAGATTACTATAAAGACTGTTATAGCTCCTAAGAAATATATAACCGTAAAAAAACAACAAAATATTGTAAGCTATTGACTCATGGGAGCACAACATTTAAAATTACATAATGAGATCCCTGAAGAATACAAAAAAGAAATTGGAAATATTCGTAAGTACAAGAAAAAAGAACTAGCTTTTATAATGTAAAAAAAAGTGATTTGAGAAAAATTAAAAACAACAAAGTGGATTCGCCAACATGAAAAATAAATTGATCAGCTAGACAATTATCTGAAACTGGTTTTTGAATATAGGCAAAAAGACAAAATGCAGAATATTAAGAACATTCGCTAAAGATATGAAGTGAATCAAATTAAACCTCGCGAATTACATCTGTAAATCGAATGCAGAAATGCCCCTAAACTGATTTCTTAATAATATTAAATGATGAATATTGAGCTATATAGGTTTTGCGATGTCAACGAACACTCGTTGTCACTTTCGTAATGCTCGTTGTAGTAGAGCCTTTGTAATCGCAGATGCAACTATAGTATGTCACGAACAATACTGGTGTCAGACGCCTTCGAATAGCACTCGCATTAATAGTATTTGTTCGATAACACTCGCTCGAATAGTAATCCGTACGGAGAATAGTTTAGGGAAGAGAATAGCGGTTCGTAAGTAATAGAGGATAGAGTGGAAATAGTGATTGAGATAAGTAGGAGTGGCATCTACTTATCTCAGTCGATAGCATAATGTACACAACCCCGCGACGCAACTAATTGTGAACTTCATCAGCTATAACTATAATGGAATTGAACATGAAATAAGCCGCGCAATTTGCCCAACACCGCAGGTTGCTACAAAACTAAAACATTAACTAAAGAACTCGAGCCATGTTCTTAAACAGCCTCGTAAGATCGAGACTTTCATACGGATGTCATGGATGGCGTCAAACTCGTTCAGAAATCAAAAAAAATGCCAGCTGTATAAAACCGCTTTCTCAGATCAATGATGTAAGAAAATGGCTTAAAGAGGTCTTACCGAAGAATGTCCTTCTTCGAGCCTCGTGGACCGGCGCTACAGAATCACAAAGAACTGTACCAGATAATAGAAACCGCATCACTTGAAGACTTTCAATAGCAGCAACAACTGTAACACACGTAACTCGAAGAGAAAATGATAACCTAATCAAAATGTTGACGTCCCACACTACTTCAAACAAAAGGTTAGGAAATAAGCCCCGGTCGATAATGGAAAAAGCAATAACAGCGGACTTGAGAAAACTATTTTTCTGAAAAAAATGTTTGAAGAGAAATATTTTATAAGCTTCAATCGACAGTGACACCAAATGTTTCCTTATAAGGAAACGGCTAATATTACCATTACCATTGTCGTGATCTATTCAATGGCAGTATAGTATGTGAGTTGGCAAGCCTAGATACTGTTTTGAATTCAGCGTTTCCTTCTTCTAGATTGGTTACCTAGGTAGCCTGTTTGCTCTGTTATTTACTTTTCCAAGGGTATTTGTGCAAAAGCGGATAGCATGAATCCGAACTGTAGAGACTGCAGACGTCAAGTAGACTATATTTACATGTAAAATAAATGGCCGACTGCTATGCGTTTCCAGGCAAACCCATCTGTCAGGGCGGCTAGCCAAGCCCCACTATAGACGCCTGTTCGATTCCCAGAGCCTATCACTGGTTTTATACTGCAATTATTCTGAGCGGACCTTAGATTCTGGGAGAAAGCGCATAATTTAGCGGCATATCTATGTGTTATTTAATGCCGAATTCTAAATATTTTGTACGTAATAATATTTATTTATTTATCGGTGATAATAATGCTTTAGTGATACAATTCTTACTAATTAACCCATAGCTGGGAGAGGAAGTGGTGGATTTCTACCTTTCCCAGGGGTATTTGCGCGAAAGTGAATATAACGAATCCATTGGCTCTCCGATTAGAAATTCTGAGTCATTATTCGTTACACCACCCGCACATCCAAGTTTACGGTACCTTGTATTCCCAGGCGGTCACCCACCGAGGAACTGACCAGGTTTGACGTTGCTTAACTTCGGTGATCGTACGGGAACCCCTGTTTCAATGTAATGTAAGCCACCGAGATAAGGAGATGAGTTTGAAAGTAAATAATGCATATGATAAAAAGAGGCTTAATCTAAAAACAATTATCAATTGTTTTTTTATCGTCACCAGATCTCGCTAATTTACGGGCACACTCGTCTGTCAGGGTAACTTGCAAATCCCTATTACAGACGTCATCTCAAACCAAACAGCACACCTCTGGATTATATTTCAATTATGCGGAGCGGCCATATTTACACTGTAATAACAGCAAAAGAAACTGGCGCGATCAAGCTCAAACTTCGATAACGTGACCAAAATAGTACCAACTTTAAGCACGCATCAGTGAAAGGCAGTGTAACAAACCAGAACGTATGTTAAGGGAAAGTGTAGATAGTTTTTAACTTAACCTCGTATAAGCTTATATGGCGAAAATATCAACTGATTGATACAAGGTCCATTATGTAAACTTTGATAGATCTAAACACAAACAATGCTTGCGGGCGCATGCGCGTGAATGTGTGTGCGTTCAAGTTGATAATCAAGTCGCTAACTTAAACTTCGGGTAATCTGCCCCGAACAAATATTAATTAATCCAAAATCTACTTTCCACTGTCTCCTTCAAAAGGAATCAATGTGTACTTTTCCCCGCGCTCTCACAAACTGTAGCAGCGAAAATTCAAATGACATTCAAATTCTGCGTACGTTTCAATAGTAACTCGAATGTTTTTCCAGGAATGTATCCATATATCGGTGTAAATACCTTTCATGTCAGTTAAACATATTTTTATATATAATATTAAGTTTAAAAATGCACACACGCACACACACATACACACACACACACACATATATTACTGGTGAATATATATAATGATATAAAATAAATAAAGTAGACGTTATAAAATATTTCCTCTCTGTCGCTATTCTTTAAAAATCTCAACAACATAAAACAGACGCTAGTTAATAACGATTTTCTGAAATAACTCATAGATCACCAAATTACACTATTTATTTTTTCTACGGTAACCAATTGCAACACTGAACAAACAGATAAAAACAATAATATCAGCATTTTCTATAAAAATCAAATACACAATAACTACAAATACATGATAATTTTCTCTTAGAATCATTATAATGAAATGCACAAAGCCAGGTGAGTGAAATACGAAAATTAAATTATCAACTATAAAAGAATTAAAACAGCTAACCTTATCGTCAACAACAACTCAACAGCAAGATGTAAATTACAGAGAACCAATATTTTTTATGAATTGACGTCTCTCTGAAGGAACTCTGTTTCTGATCAACCAAATTCATGAATAATTATATTGGACATACCACTACATTCCTATCAGGAAAACTCACATATATATATATATATATATATATATATATATATATATATATATATATATGAGTGTGTGGTTAATGCCTACGCACATATACATTGTATGTGTGCATGGATTTTAGCGTATATGTGTTATAATACTTCATCTAATTTAATGTGCAAATATTTCTACATACGTATCCTTTTGACGTGTATGAATACTTATATATATATATATATATATATATGTGTGTGTGTGTGTGTGTGTGTGTGTGTGTGTATATATATATATATATATATATATATATATATATATATATATATATATATATATATATGATTCTGATATACACACACTGTGCCGTTCATATATATATATATATATATATATAGAGAGAGAGAGAGATAGATAGATAGATAGATAGATAGAGAGAGAGAGAGAGAGAGAGAGAGAGAGAGAGAGAGAGATCAGCTTGAGAATATACGTCCTTAATTATCTATGTATCTATCTATATAATTTGTATACATTATGATAGTATGCGTGTAATTATCTTTACTAGAGGCGAAACCTTTAAGAGGAGTGAAGACGCAGTGGGATCTCAACAGAAACGAGCTCACCGTTGGCAAAGGTGTAATATTGACAGATTATTCGAATTTTCTTCGTAGATGAGATGAAAGGCCAAGGGCCCAATCGTCAGTTCGCGAAGTTGAGACCCAATTATCTATTATTCAAACTGATTTGAGCCTCTCAAGTGATTTACAATAAAACACTGAAGATATATTAAAAGGGATTAGAGGTATTACAAGTAGAAAGGTTCAAGCTGAGTATATATTCAGATTAGATTAGCGGAGAGAAGTAGAGAAAGATAGATTTGTAGTTAAACAGAAAGCAAAGAACAGCTAGAATGGCCGAAAACAGTAAAAGAACGACATCTCGCGGTGCAGGAAGATAATACAATTCAATACTATCTCAAAATTAAAGATAATGTAGATATAAAATTGAAAAGAAAACTGCGTTGGTTTCTTCAGGTGATTATATATATATATATATATATATATATATATATAAAATATATATATAAAATATCTATATATATATAAAAGTGTATATATATATATATATATATATATATATATATATATATATATATATATATATATATATATATATACTTTTTCTAGAGTGTTGAATTAAAAAAAGAAATTCATTTTTCTTCTTCCTAAAGTTTTTTCTTTTGAAAAAAAAAACTTTCTTTGCTTTAACTACAAGTTCGTTTGGATAATTTACTTGAAACACAATATGTTATTGAATTCTATACTTTCTGATATTAATAGGTTGAACCATAAATAATTTTTTGTTTATCAACGATCTACTTTGTTCTATTCTTTAAGAACATTTGGAACGAAAACACCCAGCTTGATCTTTTCTGAAGCAGGCATACAATCTGTATCGAATTATTAACGAGGTGACAATTTTCCATTTTGTCCAAAACCTACACGTGGCAATTTAACGAAATTTTCACAGAATTATGGCAACAGTTATATGCGCGTGCTGTGTAAAAACTGTAAGGTTCTGCGCAAGTGTAAATAAACCGCAGCCATTGCATAAGTAACACGATACGTCAGTGTTCCAATTTAGTAACGAATTATAATCGTGTCTTTATGTGTCGCAATTGGGACTTAATCGCTTCTGAGAAGTCTGTTTTAACATCTGAACGTGCAAAACGTAAATTCAACATTAGACATATCCAAAATGATTGGAAGATATCACCAAACATTGAAAAGGTTCGTTGCAGCTGCTACGAAGGTACTTAAGACGACCGATAAGGGTCACTTGAGGGTTGTTTCCCAACGTTCTCTATTGTGAATTAAACGTAAAGCTGTAATTAACCCATGCCTGACCAGCGGAGAACTTTTCAAGAGCATTGAAGGAGAAACTGTGTCCAGAACTACTCGATGTCATCTTCTCAAAAAGTCGGAAAATCATTGAGACCAGTGACAACGCCTCCATTGACAAAACGACACGTACAAAAGCGTCTGCAATGGGCAGAAGATAACACAAAGTTCGACTTCTCGAAGGTTTTGTTCACGGGTGAATCTCGTGCTACCATTAATGGTCTTGACGGTTGACGCAAAGATTGGGTCGTAAACAGACGACATCGTCATCAAAGCTTGAGACGCCAACAAGAAGGAGTGGTATCATGATTTAGGCTGGTATTATTAAAGATCTCATGGCTGGTCCATGGAAAGTGTCTGACGGTATTAAAATGACTGCAGATGCTTATATAGCCTTCCTGAGAGAGCACATTAGGCCTTGCTTAAAAAATCAAAGGATCACGTTCAGCGCATAAAACTACGGAGTACCTGTAGCAATTCATTTTCTGTGGACCTCGGAAAATGAACTGGCTGGAAATTCTCCAGACTTAAACCCAATCGAAAATTTGTGGGACATTCTGAAGCGACGGGTTCACGAGAATGGGCGCCAATTTAGAAGCAAGGAGGACTTGTGGCAGGCAGTAGTGAATGTATCACGTGGAATTACGTCAGAGGGGATCAAGGAATTGACATGTTCCATCGAGCAGTGCCTTATCCATGTCATTTCAAGAAGAGGATCACATATGACTTATTAACCAGCCCCACTATTATTTTTGAAATCTGTGTATTTCTACTTATTTCATGTCAGTTACTATATGTATCCATAACAATCTGTATATGAAGCAATTAAAGCCTTATTTTCTTGTTTAAATGAATTTTAATTAAACCTTGCTAATAATTTAGAACAGTTATAATTTATGTAAATTAGATAAATGCACGTAGTTTCTGTGTATTTTTGCAGAACTTTACACTTTTTACAAGATACGTGCGTATGACTATTGTCATCATTCTGTGAAAATTTCGTTAAATTCTAAGATGTAGTTTTTGGACAAAATGGAAAATTGTCACCTGGTTAATAATTCCTTGCACAGTGTATGGTTGATTCTAATATGACTCAGGTCTTTGTTAATTTGTAAGTAATTTGCTGTGAGTATTTTGATTTAACATCATCATCATAAAATTTGCTGTGAGTATTTTGACTTAACATCATCATAAAATTTGCTGTGAGTATTTTGACTTAACATCATCATCATCAAATTTGCTGTGAGTATTTTGACTTAACATCATCATAAAATTTGCTGTGAGTATTTTGACTTAACATCATCATCATAAAATTTGCTGTGAGTATTTTGACTTAACATCATCATCATAAAATTTGCTGTGAGTATTTTGACTTAACATCATCATCATAAAATTTGCTGTGAGTATTTTGACTTAACATCATCATCATAAAATTTGCTGTGAGTATTTTGACTTAACATCATCATCATAAAATTTGCTGTGAGTATTTTGACTTAACATCATCATCATAAAATTTGCTGTGAGTATTTTGACTTAACATCATCATCATAAAATTTGCTGTGAGTATTTTGACTTAACATCATCATCATAAAATTTGCTGTGAGTATTTTACTTAACATTTTAAAATTTGCTGTGAGTATTTTTAACATCATCATCATAAAATTTGCTGTGAGTATTTTGACTTAACATCATCATCATAAAATTTGCTGTGAGTACTGAGTAACATCATCATCATCATAAAATTTGCTGTGAGTATTTTGACTTAACATCATCATCATAAAATTTGCTGTGAGTA